GTATTCTCTTGGAGGAACTGGAGGGCTGGATATGTGCAACTACTGACCATTCATTTTTGAAACATTTCCAAGATGTAACAGTGATCCACCCCCCCCATATCAAAACAATTGTGTAAAGCTGCTGGTGAAACCAGGGCGTGGGTTTGAAATATGAGCTCCCAGGGAAGCCACCAACGCCTTTTGTCCTCTTTTCTATTAGGTTTGCAGTAGCTTAGGGCTTCTCTCTATAAAGCCGGCATAATAACGTTAATACTCACTTACTTTGCAGGGGAGTTGGGAAGATGAATTAGTAAATGCCGCTAAAGCATTTTTGAAAATGAAAAAGTGTTAACCTTTATTAGAGGGAGGCTCTTCTAAGGGACGATTCAACTTCACTCTTAGGCTGCAGCAGAGAATTAATCACTTTGAAAGGAGTAAATGGCACTCTGAGGAAATCATTCCAAACGTGATTTGCCCCATTATTGCTGTGCTGGTTTTGATGTCAGCACATACTTTTTCCTTTAGACAGTAAGGGAATGCAAACCGAAACTCCTGCTTGAGTGGCAGAAACTACAAAGAACTCAGAGAAGAAGAAAATACAGAAAAGAGAACTAACATGACCGAGGTGATGGAGCATCTGCCTTATGTTGACTGGTTTAAGAAGTTGTCATCTTTGAGCTTGTTAACTTGTCAAGGAACCTTAATGTGGAAAGAAGCCAAAGAGTGATTCACCCAAAGAGTGATTAACACTTGGAATTCACTGCCACAGGAAGTGGTGGCGGCTACAAGCATGGACGGCTTCAAAAGGGAATTAAATAAGCATATGGAGCAGAGGTCCATCAGTGGCTATTAGCCACAAGGTATAGATAGGGACTCTGGGGCAAGTGATGCTCTGTCTTCTTGGTGCTTGGGGGGGGGGCAACAGTGGGAGGGCTTCTAATGTCCTGGCCCCACTGGTGGACCTCCTGATGGCACCTGGTATTTCTGGCCACTGTGTGACACAGAGTGTTGGACTGGATGGGCCTTTGGCCTGATCCAACATTGGCATCTCTTATGTTCTCATGTTCTTATGAAGCCGTAAGGACAGCTTATTTTCCACCTTTCCCAGCAACATACAGCTCAGGAAACCACTGAATGTGTTCTAGGCTATGCTTGTGAACCAGCAGTGCAGCCCAGAGGTAGGGATGTGCTAAATGTATTAATCAAGGTCCAATTCAGACCACATAAATTAGAAATATAGCAAATCCTCTATCAGAACAGAATTGTTTCTGACATTTGGGAGTAGTAGGAAACCTCTGATATATACTGTTACACTGTTATACTTTACTTTCTATAAGGTGCCAGGCCAAAGCACGTCTTTTACCCAAGCTTTTAATTTGGGGTTTTCCCTTACCAGCTTTTTAAACAACTTGCTTCTGTTTCATGGGGAATGGTTTTATTTGTAATAATTTGTTTTTATATTGTGATATTGTTTTAATTGTAAGCCACCTCAAACAGGACTCTGAAGAGCCAGCACAGAAATATCCTAAATAAATATTTTTTTCCCTGAGCAGTAGAAGGTAGGATAGACTGAAAAAGAGCAGTGGAGCAGATGTGTGTGTGACAGAGATGTTCAGCATTTGCAGAACAGTCAGCTAATCTCTCTACTGAGCAGACTTGTCCCAATGGGCATTTCTGTGCAAAGCATTTTGACTCTGCCAGTCAGTGAACTGTCTCTCTAGCTTTGCTGGGCACAGGTCCAGTGTTTGCATGGATCCCATTCTCTGCTGCTACATCAGCAAGGACAAAGCCTTTACTTAAAATCCCTAAATGGTTTGGGACCAAGGTATCTCGAAGGACTGCTTGGCCCTAGATAATCCTGCTGTCAAGATCAGGCCTCGCGAAATATTTCCTATTTCCTACGTTCATGTTCTGTGTCATTATTCCTTTGGTTGTATTATGGATTCACATGTAGTCTTCTACAGTTCCTGTGTTGCATGCAACCTTGCTCTTTTCCATTGCTGTTTATCATCGCTGCTGGGAACTTGGGGTGGTGGAGGATGTGTTTGGCTGTTTGCTTTGCTTGGTTAGTGTCAGCTCGTAACAGTTCTCACGCAGGGGCCTCCCGAGTGTGTTGAGAACACCTTGGGAAGTATATGATATGATATCATCATTGTATGTGACCTTGGAGTCTGGGGAGCTTCTAGATAATGTAACCGTTAGCATGCAGGTGGGAGGGGGCAGTCGCAGGGGCAGACATGTGGTGGACTGAATGGGAGCAGTGATTGGTCACCTGGCATCTGTGGAATTTCTTGCTTTCAGTATATTGGCAGAACTGGCGTCTGGGCCCCAGTTCCGACACAGAAGCTGTCTATGCTTGGAACCACTCTACCACTTAATAAACAAATCTTGCTGATGCAAGAGTGTTTGTGAGAGTGACTGCATCCAGGACTTGACACCTGCAGATTTCCTAAAATCTTCAGTGCAGACAGTGGACCAAAGGCTGCTTTGCTTGCACAAACTGGTAGGTAGGCAGGCTGGGCAGATGGAGGAGGGAGAGAGAAAGGTACAGACCTGGATGTAGCTAAAGCCACAAGCTTTGCACCCACCCACCCACCCACATCCATGACAGTCAACAGACGGGGGGAGAGGAGAGGCTGAAGGTTTCACCCCCATGGTTATAAAGGGCCATCTTCATACAAACATAGTGGCCATATAAGCACAGATGACTTTAAAATGGATTAGGCAGGTTCTTGGATGATATACTTCCAGAGGCTACAAGCTAAGACTCCCATACTCAGAGACACATAAAATGTGCCAGGTGGCTAACAATCATAAAACAAAAACATAATAAAATGATACAAAAATATAATCCCAAGACTACATTAAATAAAACAGCAGCACAATAACTAAAACTATACCAACAGAAATTCTCTCTTGTCACCTTCTAAACTCAGAGCAGCCAGAACGATGAACTGCGATCAGAAACAAACTGGAAGCCAGTAAAATGCCTGCAACATGGGCATTTATGACCAGCTGAACTTTCTGAGAGATTTTGAAGAGAAGCCCCATGCAGACAGAGTTACAGCAATTTCACCTCACAGTGACCAGCACATGGATAACTGTGACCAGAGAAAACACCAACTGACAGAGATCAATTACTAGGGATGGCTATCCCCATAACTGAGAGATGCCCCCAGATACATATTGTTAAGTCGGCTACTTAACAAAGAGTCAGAGAGTGATTTCAGCAAGTGATTCAGCTTTATTGAGCAATGCGTAACGGAACTAGAACAAACACACAGAATAACCAGAACAACCTTAGCACTGCAGTTGTGCTTCTTTTAAACTCTCCCGGCTAATGTAGCCACGCCCTACTGTACATAACAACCAATAGGATTGTAACAATAATGTCCAATCACAGACGTTCCCTCTCAGGGAACTGGATGGTAGGTGATTGGTCGGCTCTTCCTGGGCTACCAGTAGGGATTGAGTGATTAGGATCCTTGCCCAGGACGAAGCTTTACAAGGTGTTTCAATTAGTGAATTCAAACACAGTTTTCCATTGAGTTGAATACACCACACATATGAGTGTTCATCACTAGAGAAAGCTTGAGTAGACTTACTATTGACATTTTTACTGTCACAAATACAGCCTTTTGAAGTGAAGAATCCTACAAAATCAGGCCATGAATCCTGATGGAAATTATTAACTATAATCCACTGTTAACAAGTAAATAAAACGGGGTTATTGCATATCATGTGGAAGGACCAATGTTTGCCTAAAAATTAGGTAATCAAGATTATCTTCTCAAGCACATGACTTTATGATCACTCCTCATAAATATGCTTTTTACAGGATAATTTATAGAAGAAAACACCTTCGAACTCCTAATGCATTCACTTTACAGAGAGCTACCTGGCCAACAGTGTGAAATGGAGAGCAAATGCCAGCCAATTTAAAGTAGGCTTGTTGCCACATAAAATTATGGACTGGCTGCTACGAATAGATATTTAAATTATTGGCTTGCTCCTATTCAAGAAATGCAATGGATCTGATAATTCATAGAAGAAAACACCTTCCAACTCTATAAGAACTCTATAAGATTACTCTTGAGGAAGACCTTTGAAATGAGTGTAAAAACCGGTGTACTCATCGAGTAAAGAGAGGAAAATGCTGGATTCTGTTGAGAAAATGAATAAGGTGGACTCTGTTTCAATGTAAAATTGAGATAATGAATAAGTTGGACTCTGTTTTAATGCAAAATTTATTAAATGTGTCATTGTCATTGATCACAGTGGTTTCTTGTTTGTTGGCATGTACCTGCACACTGTGACCCCTGTTTGTATCTTGTTTGAATTCATTTGTGAATGAACACAACTTGGCTCTTTCTTACAAACAGATGTATGTGCAGGATGTACATGCATTCACTGTAACATGTGAACAGGGCATGCATCCCTGCAGGGACACAGCAGGAAATCTGTTGGGCAGGCACAGGTGGGAAGGGAGCTGTGGGTCGGCATTCTGATCCCTCCATCCCAAGGAAGCTCTTGCAGTTTCCCAGCAGAAGCTTGGAGGGGGTGGAGAGGGAATGGAATCGACTCCCATTTGAGAGCACAGGCCACACAGTAAGAATCCACTGGGCTTCTTGCTGCCAATGGGCCATATATTGTACAATCCCATACTGCAGAAATGAACATGATAAGGGCATGAGAAAAGATAAGAATTAATCCAAATCTAAAAGCACTTCCCCTTGCATAGATATGATCCTCACACTAATTTCCTCACACTTCTCTTTCCAAAAATCCAGCTCAGAAGAGATTCTTGTAATAAATTGTAGACCAAATGTTAATTTTGATTTGAAAGAAAGTCCTTGAAGAAGATTTATTGGAAGAAAATGAAATGGAAACATAGAGCAAAGAGATTTAACGCAATCAGTAGACCCTTAAGGCACTGAGGTAAGCTAAAAACACCATATACATTATTGTAATAGTTTATCACTACTTTAAAATTCCAGAGAAGCATAAAGTCAAGACCCTACCTGTGCTTGTTGAAGCTGTGCTTATTGTCGGTTGAAGCTGTGCTTGTTCTGTGGATTGTGTACAAAATAACATTAAGTATTCAATATGATCATTTTATATAGCAGTTCAAGTTAATATGACAATTAGCTGAAAGCGTTGCACTGGCTGCCTATAGCATTCCGGATTCGCTTCAAGGTGCTGGTGCTTACCTTTAAAGCCCTACATGGCCAGGGACCGGCATACCTGAGGGACCGCCTCTCCCCGCATAGGTCCCAGAAAGCACTACGGTCGGGGTCGCAACATCGCCTGGCGACCCCGGGCCCAAAAGAGGCCAGGCTTGCTGCCACGAGGGCCAGGTCCTTTTCGGTGGCGGCTCCTATCTGGTGGAATGAGCTCCCGGAGGAGATCAGGGCCCTGCGGGACCTGTTACAGTTCTGCAGGGCCTGCAAGACGGAGCTCTTCCACCAGGCTTTTTGAATAGGAGCCGCCGCCGCTACCACTACCACCAATGAGGGCCAGGGCAGCTGCACCGCTGCCTAAGGCTGAGTGGCCAAGAAACATCAGGGGGCCATATCATCCTCCCTTCGCCCCAAGGGCAGGCGCAATATGGAGAGAGGTGTTGGTCACGCGGGATTCTGGGCGTCGCCCGTGGTATTAAATTGTTTTAAGATGTTTTATAGTGTTTTATCGCACTATGTGCCATACTATGTATTATGGTGCTGTACTGCACCCCATGTTGTAAGCCGCCCTGAGCCCACGTGCGGGGAGGGCAGGGTATAAACAAAATTAAATAAATAAATAAATAAATAAATAAATATGAGTGTAAAAAATGCAGCTAGGGACTAACTGAAGCCAAGTTTCACCTTAGTAGAACCTCAGATTTGATTTTTATTACCCCTTATTTACATGTTATGACATTTTATCTTGTGAGGTAGACTAGGCTGAGAGATTACTGACTGGTAAGGTTTCTGTGTGTTTGTGTGGGGGGAATAGGCCCAGGGGTCCCATTATGAATACATGAAGCTGCTTACGATGACCAAGTCAGGTAATTGATCTATCAACTTCAGCATTATCTGTTTTGAAAAGCAAGGGTTCATCAGGCTCTCAGTCTTTCACTACGGTTGCCAGGCAGTGTTTGGGAGGGCTGTGGACAGGAATATTGGGGAGAACAAATCTGGCTGCAGTGTCATGTCACATCTATTAAAAAACCAGAAGTGACTAAAGGTAGCTCTAGGAATTGCGGGAAACTCTGTGGTAAACCCACAGAGGTTCAGTGCCAGAATTTAACCTTGGAACAAAGGAAACTATTAACAGTGTGCCTTTGACACAGACACACACAGTGCCTTCCCCATACCACTGGTGGGGGAAAAGGGTTTCCAGGCCAAAGGACATCAGTTCCCAATAGCTTCAACTCCTGGCAGCTCCACTTTATAAATTAGGTACTAGTACTAGTACTAGTATTCCATGAAACTGCAGAGCGGTCGGGTTAGAACGGATAAAAGGAAGTACTTCTTCACCCAAAGAGTGATTAACACATGGAATTCACTGCCACAGGAAGTGGTGGGTGCTACAAGCATGGACGGCTTCAAAAGGGAATTAGATAAGCATATGGAGCAGAGGTCCATCAGTGGCTATTAGCCACAAGGTATAGCTAGGGGTTCTGGGGCAAGTGATGCTCTGTCTTCTTGGTGCTTGGGGGGGGGGTCAACAGTGGGAGGGCTTCTAATGTCCTGGCCCCACTGGTGGACCTCCTGATGGCACTGGCATTTCTGGCCACTGTGTGACACAGAGTGTTGGACTGGATGGGCCTTTGGCCTGATCCAACATTGGCGTCTCTTATGTTCTTATGTAGGCAATGACTGGAAACTGTAGGCCTAATGCACAGCAACAAAAACAAATGATAGGGAGCACAGTGTAACCAGAGTAGGTAAACACAATTCCAGAAAAACACTGTGTAAATATAAATAAATTGTATATTATATGTCATAAATTTCAAGCCAATAAATCAATACCAAAGAAAGACCTGTGTCTGACGTTTTATATATCTATTTTATTCATGGCTTTACATTGTAAGTGTACAGTGTGAATACTGTTAGAAAGAATCATAAAGAATCACAATAGATGAAACCATAAGACACCTAGGAAAAGTCAAAGCCACCCTGAGCCTGCTGTAAAGCGGGGAGGGCGGGTATAAATTACATAAATAAATAAATAATAAAAGGACCAATCTGCTGTGGAGTAACTAGGTAAGTCGACCTGATGCATCCTGAAGCGAAGAGACCAGATTGAAGACCTTAGATGACTTGACCAGCATTGCGGTATTCTGCTGTTTCTGATACTTCCTCAGAAGTCGTAGACTTAAACAGTACAAAATATCAACAGCCAGGTCTTGGAGAACTTGAGAGATATGTTCTCCTAGATAGGTTATTATGTTTGCCACAAAGGTTCCGATGGGGCCCTAGAAAACATGCTGCTATTTTAAGAATTTTATACTCACAAAGAGAAATTATTGCGCCTTATGTCTTATATGTACATCACGGTCCTTGAAAAAGATTTTATTCGATATGGGTGCTGTTTGAATGTCTGAACATAGTGTAAACCTGCACTTTGATGTATTGTTTGGGTGAAACCTATGTTTGGTAGTAAAGGCTTCCCTTGCTTGAAAGCCAGTCGAATGCAACTCTAGGAGGCAATGCTCATCTCTGTTTCCAAGCCAGGGAAGCTTCCTGGGTGACCTGGGCCAGTCACACACTCTCAGCCTAATCTACCTCACAGGGTTGTTGTAAGGATAAAATGGAGGAGAGGAGAAAGGCAGGATATAAATAAATCTCTACAGTTACATCTTGAATATACGATTACCACGAGGCAAGGCGTATATCCAAAAGGCACCACGGGATCCGTTCCTTTTCTCTGCCATAGCAACACTGAAGAAAATGTCTGTCTGCAGAGACGGTGGCAATATCTATTTTCTGATCATTTGAGAAGTACTTTATTTTTTTAAAAAATGCATCCACCACCGCTACAGTCTAGATGGCCCTTGACTGTTGTTCTGTCGCTGTGTTCCTTTCAATGATGCATTGCTTCAGTAATTAATCAAGTCATCTGCTCAGCCTTCTGACGCTGGGATTCAACCACAGGAAATATTTTTTCTGAGCTTCACGTCAGGAGACGCAAATTTATGGCAGTCCATGGCAGCAGGGGAAGGAGTGATTTCTCTAGAACAAAGCCACCCCAATTGATGGGCCTGTTCTCAACAGATGATTAAAAATAAGATGATGAAGGGTTATGCCTTACCAGAAGGTGCTTGCGTCGCGGTGGATGTTGTAGCAGTACCAACAGATTCCTGTGCTGAAGCTAAAAAGAAAAAGGGAAGGAAAAAAACACGACAACAATATGAATGTTAACCATTGTTCTGAACCAATCTCTGTCAAAGGAATAATTAGCACTCAAACAGAGGGAATGGAAAGGAAGCAGGAACCATTCGGCACAGCAGCTGCTTGAACAGTTGGTAATACATCCCTTTGATGGTTTATTGATTAACCTTTTCTATTATAAACTGCCAATTGTTTAGTGGTTTTGTACAGGGAATACTGCAGTCACGACTGGGAGCCCGCTGCCCCCTTATCTATCTAAAAATATTTTCAGGTACACCTGTTTGGAGCATATTTTCAAAACTTTGATCTTTTACATCATATTCTCATTAAAATGTGGACAGTTACCAGTTGCATTTGTTGATGCGGCTCACAGAAGTGGCGCTGCTTGTGAAAAGTATGTGTTTTTGCTCCCTTCCTTTTTCTTTTTGCACAGTATGATAATTTGTTCAGCTTCTCGTTGACTTGGAAGTTAGCTGCGAGCCCCTGGGCGGAATGCAGTGTAGGAGAAAGCAACTCAGGTGAGCAAGAAAGAAGGTTGAAATAAATATGCAAGAGGCTACTGAGCAGAGTATGCAAGCTGAAGGTCTGCAAGGGGTATAAGGAACTGGGAAACGTCCCACAGAGCCAAATCTGCCCTTTTACAACACAGTGAGCTCATAGATCCTTTAGAAGTCTAGTTTTTCCTCCCATCTCTGTTTCCCTTTTTCCCCCTTTGGTGTTCAACTGCTCTCAACATTCCATGTCTTATGCAGGGCAGTGTGCTCAGTTTTCATCTGGATTTCCCTCATCTTAAAAAAAATATATACAAAGTCATAGGCAAAATCCCTTACCACCAGTATACAAAGACTGTTACGTTTGCATGGCCCCATTCCCCTGTATTAATGCTAATCACTTACCCAAAAAGTTCAGTATAATGGTTTATATGCACACAGTCATAGGTTCAACCCGTAACACCTCCAATGAGCAAGTTTGCCTTGAAGAGCTACAGTCAGTTATAGATTCCAGTGGTAAGATGGAACGGTTAGTTGAATCAGAATAAAATGGTTTCATATGGTCTGGTTAGCTGTGGTTGCCAACTGCCAGGTGAAGCCTGGAGTTCTCCTGGAATTAGAAGTGAACTCTTGGCAACAGAAATCAGCTCCCCTGGAGAAAATGGCTGCTTTGGAGGGTGGATTCTATGGCATTATACCCCATTGACATGCCACCCATTCCCAAACCCTTTGCTCCCCAGGCTCTACCCCCCAAATTTCCAGGTTGTTAAATACTGGGTTCCATGGATGGTCTGATCCCAAGCATGGTGATCAGGTCTGCTTTATTGGTGATTCAGCAAGAACAAGACAAAGACAAACTGCCAGGGCAACAGTCCTGTTAAAAAGCATGCAACTCCACCCACTTCCCAAACAACTACCAGAAATAGGCCATTATCAGAACCATGACTTCCCCATTGGCCACCTCCAGAGTCCTGGTGGGCTTTTGTTCTAGAGCTCCAAGCTCAGCCAAGCTCTGGTAGAAACAGTCCCGGAATGTTCCCGTCCCAATACATAACACAGGTATTTCCCAACCCAAAATTGGCAGCCCTAGTAGGAGCTGTTTATGCACTGCAAATCATTTCAGAATGTGAGAACCCTGCTGAAGCCATCTAATGGTCCATTCCCCCCCCCAGCATCCTGTTTCCCACAGTGACCAACCTGGTCTTCCAGAAGAAGGCCCACAAGGAGAGGTACAGAAGACAAAGCCTCATCCTGTTGTTGTCTACAAGCAGGAACCTGAATGAGTACCCTATTCCTGATCTTCAAGTGAAAGGAGACATCATATGGTGTCAGCTGTGGCCCGGTTACTTTTTTGGGTCCCCAGCACTAAAAGATGATTCTGGGTTATACTGTTTATTCAATAATGGAAATATTTCAAGTCTCCATCAGGTTTATCCTTTGTGAGGAATTTAGAGGAGAACTGAAGGTGATGGAAAGAAAAATTAAAGCTGTACCTAGCAGTCAAAAAAGCAGAAGAAGAGTCTGAGGATTATAAAATTGCAGTCTTGCTTCACTGAATAAGAAAAAAAAGCCCTTGAGATTTATCATAATATGCAACGGGTGTTTGCAGAGCCTGACAATAAAACTTTAACAGAAGTTTTAATAGCCTTCAAATCTTACTGTGAACCCAAGAAAAATCCTGTGTTTGAGAGATGCCATTACAATATAATGAGGCCGTAGAATTGCCAGCTCTGGGTTGGGAGACTTGGTCTGTGATCATATGCACAATTAGACCCGCCATAGGTCCAAATGCCGGGCAGATTTAAAGGGCATGATCGGACAACATCTGGAAAGTGCCCTGCAGCCATCGGCAACCCGTTCTGCTCCGCTGCAGAAGCGGAGTTAAAAGACACTGGGGGAAATCCGGTAGTCAATGGGTTGCAATAGGCCATGGACAGACTTTCCCATGTCTGATCACAGACTTTGCACAGACTCCCCCTTTGCAGTATGTGCATCATCGCAAAATCCATTGGGAGCCCTCGGTGCGGAGGTGTGATTCATTGATCCCTCAGTTAAGTGCATGGGGGGAAAAAGCACAAAAAAATCCACGACTCACTTGCAGTTGCATCTGATCACACACTGAAGGACTGTGCCCACAGCTTCAAAGGGAGGTGTGAGGAAATAGCCTTGCTTCCCCCCCCCCATTTTTTTCTGGTGGAGACAGAGCCTGGGAGGGCAGGCAGGGTATAATGGCACAGATCACACCCCCTGAAGCTGCCATTTTCTCCAGGGGTTAATTCCACCAATATATGTGCGGCACCCAAGGGTTAGTCCAGTTGGACCCTTAGAGGCAATCCTTTACAAGCCCATTGGAAAAGCTCTTGCATGCCTACAAAGGATGCTCCTACAACTTCCAGAATATGACAACCAGATTGTTTACACTAAGGGCAAGGATGTTTGTGAATTTCACATATTAATTCTGTGCATCTATGGCAATACAGTAAACAATAAGTTACTTGTTTGCCATAGTCACTTGCTTGCCATGACTGAGTTATGAGTTCATTTATGGAAAATATGTTAAACATGTTAATGATGACTTTTGCTATGGTATGGTCAGTGTTAAAATGTGACAGTCCTCATATATATGAGCATGGGGTTTCCAAAATTTTGAAGCCGTCCATGCTTGTAGCCGCCACCACTTCCTGTGGCAGTGAATTCCATGTGTTAATCACTCTTTGGGTGAAGAAGTACTTCCTTTTATCCATTGATGCGCCTACAACTTCCAGAATATGACATCCAGATTGTTTACACTAAGGACAAGGATGTTTGTGAATTTCACATATTATGTGCATCTATGGCAATACAGTAAACAATAAGTTACTTGTTTGCCATAGTCACTTGCTTGCCATGACTGAGTTATGAGTTCATTTATGGAAAATATGTTAAACATGTTAATGATGACTTTTGCTATGGTATGGTCAGTGTTAAAATGTGACAGTCCTCATATATATGAGCATGGGGTTTCCAAAATGACCCCAGGCACAATCAGTCAGGGAAGCTTCAGTCTCATTTTCTTTTTTCCAGGCTGAAAAATACATAGGTTTTTAAAAATGCAAATAAAATAAAATAAAATTGCAATAAAATAAAATAAAATTACAAAATGCAAAAGAGAAAGAGTCAGAGAGTCCCCCCTCCCTGGCTTACACAGAAAAGCAGCCCGGAATTGAGTCTCTCCAGTCAAAAGGACTAGATGAGGACTAGAGGTCACAGTGGAGCCGGAGCTTCTGCTTCTGCTGCTGCAAAAGGAGCAGCAGGCATGGCCAGGGCACACACCCCCGATTTCCCCACACCCCACCAACCAAAATTTTCTGGCTATGCCCCTGCCTGGAGGTGATGCGTTTTCTGGTCAACACTCTAGGAATCTGTACAGCGCAAACCAAAAGGGATTCCTAGGGTGTAACCTCAAAAGTTATATTACTTCTGGGTCAGACACCATTTCCACCACTATCCCATCACAAACATCAACAATGGTGGAAATGTGAATGTGGAGGTGATGGGGGTCACCTGCTGTAAGCAAGCACCTGGTAAGCCTAATGCTACAGGAGAATGCTGGCCTAGAACCCTTCCTAAATCAGAAGTCTGAAGTGTTATCTCCAGCAACAGATCGATCACATTCACCTGCTGACCATGTAGCTTGGCTCTTACCTTAGTGATGAACATGGGAGAAATGTCCCTTCAATCTCTCTACCTATCTGTTCATGCCGATTTTCATCATTTCCAAACAATAATTTTGGATGCACAGAGCTGCCAGGTTAGACCACTACTTTTTGGGAGCAACAGGTATCATAGTTATTGTTTCCGGACAAAAAATGTTCTTATTCTAAAAAAACGGTCTTATTGTTTACATTGAATATGATATCACAAATTAAAAGGCCTGTTTCTAAATATTTCCTTGTGTGTTCCAGAAATGATGCATAAACTTTCAGGGCTTTCAATGGGTTATAAACTTCAGATATCTCTTGTGGGTGAAGAGGTTATTTGGGGGGTTCAGTATGCTGCATTAAAATTGTAATGTTTCAATTATGAATTGTAAACTGCCATAAGCCACGAAAAAAGACAGAATAAAAGATATTTTAACAAGAATAATTCTTATTTGGGCAAATATTTTGTCTCTGGAAATAAAGCTGTGCACATGAATGTCTGAGTTGAAGAACAGAGTTTGGCAACAAAGATTTTTTCAAAATTTCCTTGCCTTAAATTTTTGTGGTGAGCCAGTGTGAAAAATCTAAAAATAACTCTTTTCTTGAAAACTCTCAAGAAAGGAGATTCCACAACACAACAACCAGAATTATGTTGAGTTCAGGTGAACTGGTTTCTGCTGGTGCACAAGAGAGCAGGGGGGAACCTTTTGAAGCCCCTAAAGCTCAAAACCACATTGGGAAAGGGGTTCATTAGGGGCCTGGAGACCTTCTGGAGTGACAAGTGATCTCCAGACTGCAGACATCAGGCC